CAGAGTGTTTGCCTGTCAATCTGCGGACAGTGCTGAGGATTTGGAAGAAGTTGGATGAGTCTAATTGTGATTACGAAGATGCTTGGTGTGATCACTAGTGATGGAGATGTTATGCTTCCATTCATCTTTCCACAGGGCCACAAAAACTAAACACGGAGGCCTACACAAAGTGCCTTGATGAGGTAGTGCTGCCCTGGATTAAGAGGGTGACTATTCGAAGGCTCTATGCCCTTGCAACAGGAATCTGCACCATGCCACACAACAGGATAACCTAGTCATGGCTGTCAGACAATTTCTGCAACCACATCACTTCTGGCCACCTAACTGCCTAAATTGCAAGCGTCTTGATTATTATGTGTGGGCCGCAGTTGAATGAGAGACCAACAAAATTCTTTGTAACACCAAAGATGAACTGAAAGATTATGGCAGCATTCACCAACTTAAACATGGAGACCGTCCAGATGAGTTAAGGAGATTACGAAGGCGTCTGGAGGCGATTTTATTGAGTAAATTTACTCTTTAGGATTTGAAGATATTTTTGTGTAACTTAATAATTTAGTCTTCGCCTTTTTCTTTCGCTTTCCCGGTGATCTTGTCAGATTTGGGGGTCTTCGTCAATATGGATTTCTCGGTTCTTTTCGGTGTTTTTTTCGGCGTCTTCCTCGATCCTGTCAGAGAGATCTTCCTCACCAACTTCCCTGGTAGACGACAAATTCTCTATCAGGTTCTATCGATTGTAGAGAAGCCCTTCATATCGTTGAGTGTTTCGCTCAAAAATGCCTTCCAGCAGATATTGCCTGTCTTGGCCATTGGGACAACGAAAGATTCTGCAATAAACTCAATTATATTTGTCTATATTTCTGAGATCAGGGATTGTAATATACATTATTTATATTGTTCAGACTGTTCTCATTTTTATTGTCATATTCACTACGTTTCGGCAGTTGTACATTCCGAACTTCTTCAGGACTGTCTATATTTCTGTGATGAGGGATTTTAATTATTTACACTATATACATTGTTCGGACTGTTGTCCTCATTTTTATTGTCATATTCACTACGTTACAGCAGTTGTACTTTCCGATCTTCTTCAGGATTTCTCTATATTTCTGAGATGAGGGATTTTAATTATTTACACGATTTACATTGTTTAGACTGTTCTCCAAATCTTGTTGCCATATTGACGGCGTTTCGGCCTTCTTCAAGTGTTTTACGTTGGAATTTCGAAACGAACCCACGTGCCTTTTCTGGATCTCTCAGTTTTAGATTTTTACCTTTAGTAACTCAACTCTCCAACTTTTGGTTCATCTCTGCTGTGACCAGTTAATGAACTCACAACTCTTTGGACCAAGTCACTGGATTACTGCAACCAATAATTTCATTGGGCCATGTGTTATATATATATATATATATATATATATATATATATATATAATTATTTATTTAAAAATATGATTCTCACTCGCGACATAAGAGGTCTCATGTTTCAAAACAAGAGCCGAAATCTTCAATATAATTGTTTGAATTAAATTGAGTTAAAGTAAGCTCTGTTCCATCTTCAAGCGAATTTGTTTTAGAATAACTTATTTCTGAAATTTACGTGTTTTAATAGTATATTCATAATTGAAAGCAAAATTTCCATGGTAACAGCTAGGGCGAATTGTTTAAATTGGGTAGGGGTGTGTGGGGTGTTAATAATAAGTATCAGTATAGAGTTACTTTCATAGATTTCAAGTCAGGGTAAGGTGGGGGTGTCTAAATTTGAAACGGAAGATGTTTTCGCCTAGTCTGGTTTACGTGTCTATGGAGATTTATTTATTTTTTTTAATTTTATTTCTTTATGAAAGGGATTTGTGCATATAAAAACTGCTGTAACATTTGTTTTTTGACGATTTCATAAAGGGTTATCTTTTCGTAGGGTATTTAAACTATTTATTTGGGCTATGGATTATAAATGTTATTATACTGTATGCTTGTTTTTAGCTAATTATTCAGTGCATGAATTTGATGATGTCGGAAAAAAACCGTTAACTCATGTCTATTGTTTAATAGATTATTATTATTTAGAAACTTAATAATATGCAGTTTCTCATGGAGGCACAAAGGGCATGGGTCATCCCAAGTTTTACATGTTCTAGTCCTGTTTATAATTTTACATTTTACTTTAGGTGTCCTATTTATTTCCTTCAGATGCCAAAAATATATTTCCTATTTTCTATATATTTTCACACACACACACACACACACACACACACACACACACACACACACACATATATATATATATATATATATATATATATATATATAGTGTTGACTTCAATGTTCACTTTTATATTTATATTTACATACGCTCTATCTCTGGTATTGAGCACTTCATCCCATAAATATAAAACACCTTAAAACGATATTTCTTCATATATATATATATATATATATATATATATATCGTTTTAAGGTGTTGTAAATTTATGGGATGAAGTGCTTCAATACCAGAATAGAGCGTATGTAAATATAAATATAAAAGTGAACATTGAAGTCAACACTCAGAGGCGACAGGCTGTTTCATGCTAGGCGCAATCGTCAGGTCCTGACATTCAGACTGGTAAATGTTGTTAATACTGTTCATTACAAACAGAGCATTTACTGAAATATTTATATTTATATAAATAACGTATAACAATAAAATATATTAAATAATTAATCCATTTCATAATATATATATATATATATATATATATATATATATATATATGAATTTTCGAGGGAAATCATGGAAAATTTGTAGTTTAAAAGCAGCAAATCGACTCGACCTTGTTAACTTGACGCTTCCTTCCTTCCTTCGTAGCCAAATTGGTATAGCACGTTAGGCTATATGACGATTCCATGTAGGATACAGGTTCGATTTCTGTCGGAGGACACAATATTTCGATTAAATTTCTCGGACATTCAGGCCGGTAAATGTTGTAAATACTGTTTATAAACAGAGCTTTTACTTAAATATTTCTTCTATAAAAATAATGTATAACAATAAAATATATTAAAATAATTACCGGATTTAGTCCATTTCATGATACATATATATGTGTATGTGTAAATAGTAATGGTACAGCGTTAGTATTTGAATAAGTATTAAACTTTTTTTGTATTTCATATTAGCTAAACAGAGCGTTATTAGCTTTATTGCAATTTTCTACTTCTTATTTATGTGAATGAGGTTTCTCAACCCTAAATAACATCAAAAATAAGAAGCGAGAAAGACTACGCTCAAATGAAGAAGCAATGAGGGCCTGCTTATTGCACATTCGACCAAATATTGGAGAAATCGTGAAAAAACACCAGATAAAGGTTTCACACTAAATAAGCTGCACAAATAGTTGAATAGAAACATTAAAGTTTATAATTTGTGTGTATATTTTTTAAAATTTATGGTTTTATTTCATAATATATAGCCTTTAAAAATGTTGCTAAGTGTGCCGTGATATTTTCATTTGCTTCTAAGTGTATCGCTGTTTAAAAGGTCTGGGAAATACTGCATTCGACTGACTGCATATAATGAAAATAAAGATTTAATTTGCTGCAGGTTAATTTCCAATAGAGAAAGATTATGAAAAAATATTTTTAGGTAGGCAACTACTCCCTCTTGCAGGCGCCTGCTCGGGCATTATCATGTTTATTCAAAACCCAGTGCAACTATGCTGAAATTCTCACTGTCTTCTTTTTGTTTGATCAAAGGAATGAGCAGGAACAGACATGGTGGCAAATGATTCTTTAATAAAGCTGTCCATGGTGATGTTTGGTTAAATTTGTAGCTAATCTTCTTAAACTCCTTTTGTAATAATCAGATGCAACTATGTGAGCAAGATACCGTCGACATCCCATAAATCTATTGACATGACCTCTCCTCCTGTTTTCGGTTTGATTTTAGCTTTGGCTGGACCCTTTCAACCTTTGGTTATCCATTGCTTTGTTTTCAGAAAGCAACTGCTAAACTCGAGTTTTATCTCAAGGTACAATACGCCTACGAAAGCCTTCAGGATTTCAATGCCATCTATTCCAAATTTTCCTTGAAACCCGTTATCTGTGGCCGATCTGATTTGCAACGAACAGAAAATTTGTTCCACTTTAACTTTTCAGATAAAATTCAGAGAGGGTCTCGCACGAAAGATCATATTTGAAAGAAGTGTACACATTTGGGTCACTGGCACAAAGTCTATTTAATGGACATGAGGGTGAAATGTTGAGAGAAAGGGGGAGGGAGGAAGAGAGGGAGGGATAGAGAAGGAGAGGGAGGGAGAGAGAGGAAGAGAGATGGAAAGAGAGGGATAGAAAGAGGAAGAGAGGGAGGAAGGGAGGGAAAGAGAGGAGGAGAGGGAGGGAGGGAGAGAGGAAGAGAGAGGGATAGAAAGAGGAAGAGATGGAGGAAGAGAGAAAGGAAGAGGAGGAGAGGGAGGGAGAGAGAGAGCGGGAGGGAGAGAGAGAGCGGGAGGGAGAGAAAGAGGAAGAGAGGGAGGAAGAGAGAAAGGAAGAGAGGAGGAGAGAGGGGAGAGAGAGAGGGTGGGAGAGAGAGAGGAGCTGAGAGAAAAGAGAGGGATAGAAAAAGGAAGAGGGAGGGAGGAAGAGAGGAGGAGATGGAGAGAGAAAAGAGAGGAGGGGAGGGAGGGAGAGAGAAAGAGAGATGGAAAGAGAGGGGTAGAAAGAGGAAGACAGGGAGGGAGAGAGAAAGGAAGAGAGGAGGTGAGGGATGAAGAGAAAGAGGAAGAGAGAGAGAAAGAGAGGGATAGAAAGAGGAAGAGAGGGAGGGAGAGAGAGAGGAAGAGAGGAGGAGAGGGAGGGAGAGAGAGGGAGGAGGAGAGGGGAGAGAGTGAGGAAGAGAGGAGGGGAGGGAGAGAGGGAAAGAGGGAAAGAGAGGGATAGAAAGAGGAAGAGAGGGAGAGACAAAGAGTAATTATCGACCTGTCAAGTGGGTGAGTGAGATAGGTTTCCTTTGAAGGGTGCATCTGTGGCAGGTGGCGTGGGGTGGGGTAATACAACAACAGCAACGAAAACAACAACAACAAAATCCAAATAATTAAGCGCGCCTGGAAATTCGTAATTCTCAATATGTAGATGTGTATATAAGTATATTGAAATGCTTTTAAACAACTTCAATATCTTAATTATAATACAAAGATCAAAAGATTACAGAGTCTCTATACATAGACGCAGAGGAAAAACACGATTTACAGAATCAATATATATATATATATATATATATATATATATATATATATATGTGTACTCACAAGCAACGAAAAAGAGAAAAATAAGGCAAATAAAGCAAGGTACATGAAACTTCCAACAAATTACATAATGACTTTAATCGAATCTTAACGAAAGAAAATAACAACGTTAAACTTGAATACAGGAATATCGAAAGTAGTCTGCAATAATAATAATAATAATAATAATAATAATAATAATAATAATAATAATTCACCCCAAGCAAGGCGATAATTCCCCTAAGATGCAAGGGGGTTATTGGTAATGAAAGAGAAGACTTTAGAAGGAAATGGAAACAGAATCATCTAGAGCAATGATTCCCAACGTGAGGCGTGTGCCCCACCGGTGGGGAATGGTAATATTTTGGTGGGGCATGCGTACGATGTGCACCCTTCGGCTTCCTATACCAACATGAGCTCAAATTTTATTTTGCATTATTATTTCATGATTAAAATGACCAAATTATATTAAAAAAATAAGCTTTCATTCAAATATTTTATATTTCTACCTTTCAGTTCTGTATTATATGTTTTAAATCTATATATATTTAACTGTTTTTTTTTTGTTCTTTTTTTTAAATTTTCTCTTTCATGGACGCCATTTTCTTTGGAGGCTTGTTTAGAGACCAAGTTAATGGCCTTTTAAGCTTCCTACACGGGAATTGCAGTACAATTCTGAATATGTAAAAATTAAATATTACAGGTGTGGGGGTACCAGAATTTGTTAGTAATACCAAAGTGGGGCATGGTCCAAAATCGATTGGGAGCCACTGCTCTAGAGAAACCAAGAGACAAACGTCAATTCCTGTTCAAAAGCCAATATGTACAAGTTTGATTAAAATTATTATCCAGCCATAAGAGTAATGATTTATAAAACAATACATTCAATGCATTAGTCATTCATTATAATAAATTTGACCATAATTTTGATTTAATGCAAAGTTGATGATGAAAAGAACAAGTCATTTATCAAAAGGCAAAAATATATTTTGAAAGGTTCACGTTAGATTTACGTCCAACATCCTACAGCAGGGATCGGCAATCTTTCACTAACTACGTGCCAACTTAGAAAAAAATCATCCAAAGTGCCAAACAGCATACATTTTTTTATACAAATCAAGGTCAATATATTTGTTCTCCAATATATTTTATATAGTAATATATAGTATATATAACTTAATATATATTAAAATCGAAACAGCTAAATATCTTCTTTGTGTTGTAGTAGTTATTGGTTCGGACGTTGTGATGTCATTTGTAGAAATGGCTTGGCGTACCACGTGTGGCACGCGTGTCGTAGGTGGACGACCCCCCCTCTTCTACATCATACTTCCTTCTGCCACAAAACTGCTGCTGATATAAGGTGGGACATTTGAAAGTAAAAACAGCGATAACACTAAAAACAAATGAATTAATAAATTTGCTGACATTTTTTCTTCAGTCATCATGAATCATGACCTTAAGAATGAAGTTCCATTTCTTGACCCATGGTATAACGATAAACTATATCAGTGTCCTGGGTAAGACGATAAACTACGCCCAGCAGCAAGGCCTCTGATCAGGAGGCTTTGAGAAGCGTGGAACCACCTTTTAATTGCTGGTGTCCCCAGGTCCATCCTGACAAAGGGGTGGTAGCACCTGTTAGGGTCCAAGCTATGGGCAAATAGTTAACCCCTAAACTGTGGGCAAAACACCATAAAAGTGTAAAAATAGGTTTTAATACCACCAATATGTTTTTTGGTAAAAAAAATTGTCAGTAATAAATTTTGAAGGAAAAATATTACCGGCAATACATCTTTGAAAAAATATTAACAACAATATATTTTTGGAAAAAAATATTACCAGCAATGCATTTTGGGGAAAAATATTAGCAGTCATACATTTTTGAACAAAAAATATTACCAGCAGTATATTTCTGAAAAAAAATGCAATAAAAATCTTATCGGCGTTAAATAAACCATTGAGGTTGATATGGCGTAAAACAAAATAAACCAGCAAACCAAACCAAAACATTTCTTCACTCTTTACTCACACCCGGCCTCGTTGAACTCTTATACGATCCATCGCTAAAGATGCAAATACAACTTATCGTGTCCCTCTACCGTTCCAGTAAGTCCCTGGTTCTTCATGCTAATTCTTTAATAAGAGCTAGATCAGATCGAAAATGGATTACTGGTGCCAGATTTGTGCAGGAGCTACCCAGACCTCACTTTTTAGTATTGTCAGTCTTCAAATGCGTCTCTGAGTCCTTGTAGCAGAAGAATTATTTTCAACCCACCAACGGGATGTGGCGAGACCCTCAATGGTCTATGACTACTACCAGGGAAAGTTCTCGAACAAACTACATTCCTTGGTTCATACCAGGTCTAACCTTCTCAGCTAGAAACCGCCATTCTAATGCTCGAATGTTGGCTTTAATTAGCAATCTTCTATGTCAAATTAACAAAATGTCATCTTTGACAGTGGATATCTTTGTTTCATGTGTGTATAACCACTTTGAGTGGCTCTCCAGCCTTATTTTGGCGGAAATTTTAAAAATATCAAAATAAGTATCTTGTGTGTTTCAAAAAATATGAAATATAAACAGTAATTGTGTCAATCTTTTGCCAGCTTCAAAAGCCATTTGCGTAGATGTGCAAAACCTAGTGTGCACCCGAATAATGTCACTGTAAACAAAACTGATTGGGCATGCCAATTCTGTGGCAAAATTTGTCGCAGTTTGGCTGGCCTGAAGAGTCACCTGCGAATACACAGAATTTGAGGGGAGATGGGAGGGGTGAGAACATGAAATAAAAAGAGGTGGTCACGCTCGAAACCGAGAGGACAGCCATATATATATATATATATATATATATATATATATATATATATATATATATATATATATATATATATATATATATATATAACCCCAAAATAGACTACCCACTATGCACCACTGACCCGTATATATAAATAGTCGAGAGAAAAAAAAACAACACTCGCGGCCTGACGATTGAGTCTAGCATGAAACAGCCTGTCGCCTCTAAGTGTTGACTTCAATGTCTATTTTATATTTACATATGGTCTATCTCTGATATTGAGCACTTTATCCTCCCATAAATATAGCAGACCTTAAGAATATATTTCTTCATATATATATATATATATATATATATATATATATATATATAATAAAAAAGCTTAAACACTAATATTCCATGGTCATAATTTATTCCATTGGAATCGTAAATACGATCCAATTCATTAGACGTAAATTGGATCGTATTTACGATTCCAATGGAATAAATTATGATCATGGAATATTAGTGTTTAAGCTTTTTGTTATATCCTTACTCTGTCCTAGACATTGAGTTCTACCTGGATTCTATCCTCTTGGAATTATTTTTTATACAAATATATATGTATGTGTATGCATGTATGTATATATATTTATATATTTTGCATATGTCTGTGTATATTTACCACTAATATTATCAATATATATATATATATATATATATATATATATATATATATATATATATATAAAATATCAAAAAAAAATATCAAAAATTAAAATCTTCAGACACACTGGGTTGTAGATTAATATTCTTTCGTTTTTTTATTTTTATTCCATTTAGATTCCTCGACTAGTTTCGACCGAAATGGCCATCATCAGGAGAAGAAATATTTCTGCTTGCTGGTAGCAGTAAACTACAGAAATGACGGCAGAGTGGGAGTGAAAGTTGTTACTAGAGGAATGTGGCTAGATTTATTTTTAATCTTGTACATTAGGATGTCTTCTCTCGGTGTGGAAATTGCTTTATTTATTTGTTCCCTGATTAGGTGTTGTTTATAGCCACGTGTTGTGAATTGATGCTCCAGATTTTCAATGTGTTTATTTAATTCTTCATTGTTGGAACATATCCTTCTGAGTCTAAGTGCTTGTGAATAGGGAAGGTTCTCTTTGAAGTGTTTAGGGTGGGAAGACTTAAAGTGTAGATAGTTGCGGGTGTCGGTGATTTTAGTGTGTAGTGTCGTTTGTAGTTTCCTGTTTTCATCTATGTAAATGCGGGTGTCTAAAAATGTTACTGATGTTGTGGATTTTTCATAGTCAAACTTAATTGAGTCGTGCACTGTGTTTAGGGTAATAAGGAATTGGGTAAGTTTGTCATCACAACCCGTGTATACAAAGAATATATCATCGATATATCTTGCATAGAATACGCAGTCGCTACCAATGATGGGATAGATATGGGTCTCCTCAAAATTTTCCCATAAATATTGTAGCATATGATGGAGCTGCAATGGTGCCCATGGCACAACCTCTTATTTGAAGGTAGTGTGCTCCATTGAAGTTGAAAGTATTCAATGTAAGAATATGCTCCATGAGTTTTATGATAATTTCTGTTGTGGTGGTGGTGGTGGGGGGTCTTCTTTTAGTAATTGCTTCCTGAAGGGCGGTTAGCTCTTCGATGTATTTAATATTTGAATAGAGTGATCTTACGTCCATAGTCACTAGAATAGCATTCTCTGGAACTGTTTGTATGTGATTAATTTTGTTCAGTAGATCTGTTGTGTCTCTGATGTAGGATTTTACTTCCTTAGCTAGGGGTTGTATGTAATGGTCTACGTATTTGGAAATTTTGGTCGTGTGGCAGTTTAATGATGAAATGACCGGCCTTCCTGGATTGTTGCTTTTGTGTATTTTAGAAAGGAGATGGAAACGAGCAGGTGTGATGTTTGTGGGTGTAAGT